GTTCTCATCGTCCTCCAGGCATTTTGTGTTGCAGTCCTGATCACTTCTCCCAGCACTTGCTGGGCCTGTTGCAGGCCAAATTGGTGGTATTTCCACTGGAAGGAGCATCTCGCTCGCCAGGCCAGCATGAGGACGTGTAGCCTTGTATAGGTGAATAAGTTGACTGCAAACAGGGACCAGTGGGCGAGCAAATGCTGGTTCTTGCCCATCAGTAGAAGGCCCAGATCCCATGGGATGTGGAGGGATGTCAAGGAGTGGAAGGCCGCATCCCACCATTGCCGCAATTGGATGACCATCGGGCATGCCAGTAGGCAATGCTCGAGTGTCGCCCGGGCAGGTTGTGACGATCTTCCACAGTAAGAGCAGATAGGGGACAAGTGGCCTTGTTGTTCTAAGTTCGTTCTGGAAACGAGCCAATCAGGTGTTGGAAGACACCGATGAAGGATCTACCATTGCAGCGACCTGAGAGATGTTGGCATGATACTTGCGTATTTGGGCCATGGTATATCTTTCATCAATTATGGGTCAAGAGGAGAATCGCGGGCCCGTCTTTCAGATAGCGTACAGTTGATTGGCTGTTCCGGGTTCTGGGCTCTGTAAGCCTTTTTGACAGTGTAGTCCCATATGTTCATCGGTTTGTGGCCTGGCCACTGCCACTCTATCGGGTCAAAGGGCAGCTCCGCAATTGGTGTTGAAGCCTCATATGCGTATTGCCCTTCTTTGATGTCCCCTACCACCCTTATATGTATGAGGCCGACAGTTGACTCTTCGTCGTCCAGTTCTTCATTGCGTGTCAGTTTCGACATTCTTGCCCCCGGTAAGGCTGGCTCATATGCCTCCAAGGTGCATGTTTCTTGGTCAATGCTTTGCACCTTGTAGACAACCAGGGGTAAGGGTAGATCTGAGTACTTTACAGTCCAATCCCCTTGCTGAACTGTGGGCCCTTTCTTGAGGGTAGATCGCCATGCCAATGGTATGGCCTCTGTAAGTAGATTCAGCTTTCCCTCGACGTTTTTGGCATACCTCATGAGTTGTTGTAATTGCGCTGCAGTCTTCCAGTTCCCTGTCTGTATGTCCCAGATGTCTCCTATCGTGAAGAGGCCTTTTCTGACCCATGTGAGTCAATGGGAGTTCGTGTGCAGTGAAAAGGGATTGCCCGCTTCGTCCACAGTGTGGGGGTTGCCAAAGAGGGGTTGTCGCCATATGTCGTGCCATCTATTGGGGGGCTGAATTTGTTTTGGGCCACAGTGTCTCCACAGTTTAAGCATATTAGGCCATAGCGGGTCTTGTGCTATGTCTGCTTTTTTTGCGTGAGCTGGGTTATCCCCCGGTTGTCGCTGGGTCGCAGAGGGAATGGACCAATGAGCATTGGTGAGCCATCGAAAGGGATGGATCCGATTGGTGTTCGTAGTCTCCGGGGCCAGATTGCTGATCTGTATACAAGCCAGCGGTGCCCACGGAATATCATTACCTGCGAGGAGTCTGACCAACACCTTAAAGATGAGGGCTTCACTTTCTCTTTCCGGGTCGATTATCCCCAGTCCCCCTTTGCCCCTGGGTTGCGTTAGTATACCCCATTTGACCCGGTTGATGCAACCTTGGCCATTGATGTCATTTTTCCAGAGGTAGGTCGTTAGAGTCTTTCTGAGTCTGGTGTATTGTTTCGGTTTAAGTGACCAAACTGCCAGTTTGTACCAGATTGCTGCCAATACCGCGTTGTTAATTGCTAGTGCTCTCCCGACCAGGGAAGTATGCAGTCCCTCCCATCGACCCAGACGGTCTACTGCCAAGTCCACCAGCGTGTCCCCATGGTCTAGAGGGGGGCCAAGTGCTGTCAGTCTCACTCCCAGAATGCACAAGGTTGTTTCCTTTGCTGCCCATGAGACCTATGGCTCTGGCGGCGGGCCAATGTCCTGTGGGTGTAGCCACCACCCCTCTGTTTTAGATCCCCAGTTGACTTTCATATCTGCTGCCAGTGAAAACAGATGTATGACTTGTGTCAAAGCACGAAGACTTTGGTCGTCCGCTTTGATCAGCACCGTAAGATCGTCTGCGAAGAGAGATGTGATCGGTATGAGGTGCTCTGGTAGCTCAGAGATGGGGATTTTGTGAATCTGTGGGTGGGATCTAATAAGGGCGGCCAGGGATTCCATCACGATAACAAAGAGCAGGGGTGCTATGGGATCCCCTTGTCTGACCGACCTCTGAAGGAGGATCGGGGCTGCCAAGTGGCCATTCAGCGAGATGTTCGTTGTCGCCGACCTGTGTAAGAGTTGCACCCAGTTTGAGAATACCGGACCAAAGTTCATCTTAGTCAGGCACATGTCCAAGAAGTCCCAGTCAACGTGGTCATAGGCTTTCTCGAAGTCTATGAAGAGTATTGAGGCCTGGACCTTTCGTTGGCGGGCATACTTGATAGTCTCGTTAACTAGTAGGATATTATATTGGATATTACGATTAGGCATGAAGCCTGACTGATCTGGGTGTATCAGAAGGTTCATCAGAGGCAATAATCTTCTGGTGAGTGTCTTAGCCACCAGTTTGTAGGGGACTGGAAGCAGAGTGATTGGCCTGTAGTTTCTGATTTCCTCTTTGTCCCCTTTCTTATAAAGGAGGGTAGTAACTCCTTGTCCCATCATGCCTCCGAAAGAACCTTCTCTCTGCACCGCTGTGATGTATTCCATCAGATCGTCCGATAGCAGGTCCCAAAAGTTCTTCCAAAATTCTTTGGGGAAGGAATCCACTCCCGGCGTTTTTTCGTCTTCCATCTCCTGCAGGGCCTCCCAGACTTCCTCTCGGGTAATAGGTTTGTCCAGTCCGGCTTTCTGGGAAAGGGTGCGGCGAGTCTGAATCGCTTGCAGCAGCTCCTCCCTTGCATGGAAGACCTCATTCTGAGGTCTGTTGGGTGACTCTGATGTGAACAGTTTTTGATAATATTTAGATCCGTAGTCCACAATGGTGTATGCATTAGAGGCCACCGGGCCGTTGGGGTCAAACGGGTGTTTGAGTCTAGGGACTGTGTTTGCATTTGCTCTTGCCTTGGCTTTGTTGAAGAAGGATCTTGCCATTGTCCCTTCTGTTTGATCCCGTTTGATCCACGCGTGGATCCTCCAAACTTGCAATTGTCGGTCTATGTATTCCTGGAGGTGGTCTCTTGCTGTTTGAAGTTCCTGGAAGGTAGGCTGATGTGTAGGGTTATCCATGAGCTGTTCATCCCACTCCTCCAGCTGGCTCATGAGTCTCTCTTGGATGGCCTTACGGTTCCTCGCATGTTGGATAGAGTACTTTTTAGCGCGGTCCCTTAGTTGTGCAATGTCGTCATTGAACCATGCAACTTTGTCCCCTGATTGAGGTTTTTGTGCCTGCCAGTAGTGCCAGAATGTGTTGAGCATATCCTTGAAGGTGGGGAGGGGCAGCAGGGAAGTGTTAAGTTTGTAGAATCCTGGGCCCCTCTTTATGTGGTCATGGAAGGATAGACCCAGAGTGATCATTCTGTGGTCAAAAGACTTGCAGGGGCTTATGGGCATGATATATGCGGTTGTGAGCAGGCCCGTCATGTCTTTTGAGATTAGTATAAGGTCGATCCTTGAGTTGGCCACACCATTATGGCCTCTGTCTGATAAGCATGTGTAGGCCTTTTGAGATGGGTGCAGCAGTCTAAATGCATCTTCCAACTGTCTATCTGCCATAAATTGTTGGAGCATGACAGCATCAGGATGGGCATGAGGAGGCGGCTGCACTCCCGGGTTAGGTTGCTGTGATAGTGATCTGCGATCCATTTCCGGGTTAAGGGTGGTGTTGAAGTCGCCTGCAATTATCATCGGAGCGTCATCGGGCAGGGTTTGGTGGAGAGTGAGTCAGAGGTCCACCCTGCTGGCGGGGTCATTTGGGGCGTACACATAGACCAGGTAAAATTCTTCATTCTGGATTGTGGCCTTAATCGACACCCACCTGCCATCTTGCTTGTCGTACTCCATAGAGATTGGATTTATTCTCGGTGATGGTGGGAGCCATATGGAAACCCCTGCTGACGCTCTTTCTATGGCCGGTGCATTGAAGGCCCTATAGGGCTTGACTGATTGTGCCTTGGCTGCATGTGGAGGCGTGTCTTGCAAATGTGTCTCTTGTACACATACAGCATCCGGCCATTGGCCCGTTATTGGGCATTTAACCATGTTCATAATGGCTTCTCTTTTTGTTGCGGATGCTTGGATGAGGCCGTTTACGTTCAGTGAACGGATGTCCAGATCTGCTTGTCCCAACCGAGCGGCCCATTGGGGTTGCTTCCTGACCCGGGGAAATACTGGGGGAGACGGTGGTCGTTGCGGTGGTGGGGACTGTGGTCGTTGTGGTGGGGGTGGCGGGGCGGGGTGGGGGGGGGAGCAACAAGGCAGGGCCCTGCTGTGGGATAGGAGGCAGAGGTTGGGACCGTGGTCTGTTTCGTGACGGTCGCAGGTCAGGGCAGTTCCCGGCCGGGTCGACGAAGGGGCCATGTGACTCATGTTGTGTTGAGGTGTCATTCATTGATCAGAGATTGGTATTGGTATTGGCACCTCCTGCAGGCATCTATTTGTAGTGGCTGAGTGGGTGCACAAAGGGTGGGTCCTCCCACTGGTGATAGTCCTCTAGTACGTTATCCTCGAGGAAGATTTGCACGAAGGTCAGCACTCTGCGCTGAGTCCACGCATAGTTAGTTCTAAACCTGTCGATAGAGAGGTTCCTAAGTTCGTGGTGTGTGAACCATGTAAAGTCTGATTGGGCTTTGCATGGGCTGTCACGGTGCTGTATCAGCAGTATCACCGGCCCAATGCCTTTAGGGAAGGATAGAGTGTTGGGGAGGACTGCACCCTGCACTCCCTCTGTACCTGTTTCCTTGACCCACAGGTTGAGTCTCTTTAGGATGGCTGCTGTGGACGGACTCCCCCTCCATCCCTCCACAGTCAGTTCCCCCTGGATTGTAGGGTCCTTTGAGTGGTTAGACGGTGGTCTGAGACCAAGTAACCACTCCCCACCTTCTTTGACTCTTCTCAGCGGGAAGAGGGCTACTCCTGGTGGCATGGTCTGTGGGATGTTGTCGTCCTCTTGAAGTCTGACCAATGCTCTCATTGTTTTGGGCGGTTCCAGCGGCAGGGCGTCATCGCCGTTGTCGGCCTCTTGCAGTTCCGCCAGGTTAGCTTCGTCTTGCAACACTTGAGAGTGACTGAGCCGGAGTGGGGCGGGGTGTGGCGGGGCCTGTTCCCAAGAGGGACCTTGTACTTCCATGTGACTGATCGCCCGTTGATCGCTGGATTGGGCGGGGTGCAGTTCCCCGTTCGTTGTTAGCTGTTGCTGTTGTGTTGCCCGTTGTGAACCAAGCAGAGGGTCTGCAGTCCGTAGAGTCCCGTAGAGTGTGTCACAGAGTTCGTTCACGAGGGTTTTGGGCCAGGCCAGACCCTCGTGCAGGAACACTTCTACCTGTTGATGCTGGTTGGGCAGTCATTCGGTCTTCTGTGAGGGCACTAACCGCTCTTTTGCAAATTGTTCAATTTTGTCCAAAAATTCATTTACTACATAGACAATGGCAGCCCCCACATCCATCCAGTCGATTGCAGAGGCGTCGCTGTATTTTTGGACAGTAGCCAGAATCCTGGGGCTATGCATCAGGACCATTTTCGCTTCTTCCCAGTGACCAGTATTCAATTTGTCTGTCGGTCTGTCGTCCGTTAGTGAGAAGATTTTCATCAAGGTCCAGTCTGTGAGGAAGCGAAGTTTCTGTTTAACTTCTGCGTTGGTGTAGAGCGACTCGGCTGCAGGGGACTCGGCAGCAAGGGAGGGGACTGCTTCCATTTCGTGGTCAGCGGATAGGGGCTGGTGTGGCCCTAGGTGCTGCTCGTCAGTGAAAGCCAACTCTTTGTTGTCAGGTGCCGATGTGCCCATGTCTTGGGGTTCCTGTCCGGCCTGTTCCTGCAGCATCAGACAGTGTTGCTGTCGCCCGGTCGGCAGGCCCAATATGATGGGTTGGCTTTGCTGGTATTGCAGTTGTCTCTGGTTCTCCATTTGTTGTTGCCAGTAGGCTTGCAATTGTTGCTGTTGTTGATGGAGAACTTGTTCATGCTGGTTGCAGAGTTGCTGCTGCCATTGTAACTGAAGGTGGCGCTGTTGCAGCAGTTGTTCTTGCTGTTGTCGTTGGTGATGTTGCTCCAACTGGGCCTGTAGCAGAAGTCGGAGGTGTTCTTGGATGCTCGCCTAATGCATCTCGTGTTAATGTTGCTGCTGCTGAGCCTGCCAGTGTACATGCTGCAGCATCTGTATTTGCACTTGGTTTTGATGTTCGTGTTGTTGTTGTTGCTGCTGCAAGTGTTGGCTGCAGTGCGCTTCTTGCGTCTGCTGCTGTAGCAGGAGGTTGTGCTGTTGCTGTTGTTGGTGTTGGTGCAACAGTTTTTGTTGATTATCACGTTCCTGTTGCACCTGCACCTGCACCTGCTTCATCTCTTCCCGTTGGGAGAGCAGCCTGGGCAATGTAAAGGCGATTTAACATTGCCGACGCAAAAGCAGGGGCCCAATTCCACCAGCCACAGGAACAGGATTTGAGCACCTGTGTGACAAGACATCTTACATCCAGTCGGTCATACAACCGAAGCGGGTGGGGGGCTTAGGCCTCGTCGACCCTCCGACGCAGATGGGGAAAGGGTCAGACCCCTTGCCCTGCCCCTTTCAATTATAGTTTTAATTTTAGTCGTATTGCTTACCAGTAGTACTAGGATTAGGATTTCGTAAGAAGGAACATTCTCAGTTGGTAGTCTTAAAATAGCGTATGATTTTATTTATTTTTATTCACATCATCTAAGGATCCGGGTAAGCAACAGAAAGACGATATAGCTATGGAGTGTTTCCTCGAACCAGTAACGCAAGTCACTTACCCAGGAGCAAAGAGAGCATCTCGAGAGGCCATTAACCATGGAGGAGATCTGGACGGCCTTATTACAGATGGATGAGGACAAAACACCTGGTGTGGATGGGCTGCCTAAAAAGTTTCAGGTCTCTATGTGGTCGACCTTCTCCTCGGACTAATGAAATTCTTTCAAGCAGTCCAGTGGGTCAGGGCATTCTCACCCTTCTTTATAAACTTGGTGAAAAACTTCAGAAAAGGTCCCATGCTGTAGTTCGGAGTAGAGAACATTCTGATTAGCCAATGCTGATCACTCTTCCTTACTGGCTAGTACTTGCGACTGCTCAGATCATGATTCTGATTAGCAGAAAATCATCAGTTTTAGCATCATCATCATCATCCTCATCATCATATGTTGGTTACTCCGAGTAGACTGTGAGGACCCCGGCCTCAACGTTCTCAAATATCAATACAAGCCTTGGGCACTGGGCCCTTAAA